ATCTCGTTCTATTTTGCTTTTACTAGTTGTTTCACTATAACAGCTGTGATGCCACTGTGCTCCCCTCTCACTGAGACCTTCTTCTGTAAATCCTTTCAATCGCTGTCCCACACTAATATATTCAGGATTTCCTAGCTCAGCTCTCTTAGTCACGCAGTGCAGAAATGTTTTGTATGTTGATACATCTCTTACATTCTTAGTGGTTTTTTCATTCTTTTTGCAATCTTGGCATTTTATGCATAGACTGAAATCTGTTGGCTTGCACTTGGTCGGAACTTCCCTTTCTGACTCCATTATATTTCTGAAATATAATGTAGTGTATCACGTATATAATTGTTTGCCTTTATGTGGATGTTGTCTGGATGTTCTGTGTTTTATGTATTTTATTTTATTGATCATTGCATTGAATTATCTAAGTTAGTAATTCCAACATCTGTTATTTCTGTTGTAAAATAAAATGCTACAACTGTATAGCCACCAATTATGCGAGCGGATATTCATGGGATAATTCTTATCATGTGATAAGGTAGAATGTGATTTTTTGAATATTCAGTGCTTCTCTGAATGAGTACACATGTGTTAGTATGCATCGCAATTATTCAATATCAGTGCGAAAAGTGCGAATCAATTTAACACTAAATATATAATAATATTGTACTTGAACAACCTACCTTCACCATCAAACAGAATGTAATATTTGTATATGGGATAAAATGTACGAAAACTGATACACAATGAGATCTCCTCTGATGATTATACAAGTTAGCAAAGGTCAAAGGTAACTACACTCACTCTCAACATAGATGGCGCTATTACTTCATTCAGGCTACTTTACTGAGTGCTTGTTCTAATACTCATAGTGAATAGCATTCATATAATGTATTGAATATCCAGGGTATCTATTATTATTTGGTACATTCAACACTACTGCATTGTACGCTGTGTATATATTCAAATCTAATACAAAAACCAAATAAAATAAAATATATCCATCAATTGTTAAATTGCTGTCATGATCATACATAGTCGTAAAATGATAATGCTGTTTGAATTATGTTTCTACAGTGTTTAGATCCCGAGATATGGCAAAAAATTTGCAAATTTTGTAGAATTGTGAATAATGGAACATACTCAAAAGACGATTTTAAAATATAGATAACAGGTTCAAACTTTCTCTCTTTTGAATGCTTAGCAAGATTTAGCAAGGCTGTACATAAATAATAAAAAAGAAACATGGTGAAAAAAAGTAATGACGGGATCTCCATATTATGCACTATATTTAACTTATTACAAAACGATAATACATTTAAATTTGGAACTGTTACAGTCATTTTAATTATGAGCAAGAGCAAACTTCTTACTGAGTGAATTGTTATGCAAATTAGCAATTATTTCAGCTTCTTTTTAGTGCACATCCCAGAACTTTAAAAAAATAGCTCCTAGACGCTTTGACATTTTGTTTTGAAATTTTCACAAATGATTGACAATGTGTTACAACAATCGTACATCCAACTAGCCTAGGGTTTTAATTTATGTCATAAACTTTAAGTAGTGAAATTTGAGATGCTGTCCTGCAAAATTGACAACTGGTAAACAGTTTTCAAGACGGCACTTTCTTCATAGTAAACAGATGTACCCATAAACCAATTTTGACAGGAAACAGAAACATGGTTTAGAAGCTAATTTTTTTAAATCACGTTTGACCAAAAATTTTAAAATTCATACAATAAGCTTTCCGAAAATATTTAGTTTTGTAGACAAGGGAGGTCATCTTGGTTTCCTAATTAACTAATTAAAATACCTGTCACGTAAACTGCATCTCTACCTCAAGCTAGATTTGTTGGAAATATGTAGGCTCCTCACATGAATTCAATTAATTTGTTTAGATACATATACTTTAAATATTTAAAAATAAACCTCCATACTTCCAAAAGGATCTCAATCAATCTCTTTAACCATCACTGACATGTACAATACCATGCACATCGATAAAACTTGAGTAATAACAATTCTTAGTGTTTGCTATCATGGAAGTATTTGAATGTGACACTTTGTTTTTGAAACAAGTTGCTTTCATTTACCAGATAAGAGCTATTCATGGTTAGCAAGTAGGTCTGTGGCCAATTATTTCTTTAACAGGTTTAAAATTTATCTAATGATCCAATTGTGTGTTATAATTAATTGTAATTTTTCTGCATTGCCGCTAGAGTATGAAACTCAAAGCACATGGGTTTTGACCTCTCGATTGGCTATTATCCTCGTTTCAGCCAAAACTAGAAGTCTGAACTATTTTTGACAAATTACGATTTGTGTGCTACCATTTTTGCATGCAATTTTTAGCAGTCTCGTAACAGCCAATGTCATGATTTTCCTCATCAATATATATTAATATCAATCTCTATTAATATTGCATTCATTCAATGCACAGAAAAACATATCTTGATCACCAACTAACTTGGGCCCCGCTGACAGCTTTAATTATTTTCTTGCAGCGACTATCAGCTTCTTGTTTCATAACATTGAAATGACGGATGCAATTATTCGTTATTAGTACAATATTATTATTGATATGTTGGCCAATGCACGATCACGTGATTATCATATTAACATTCATCTAGTCAAAGGAACAATAATATTTTTGAGAATATTTTTTTCAACTGAACTATGTTGAAATTATATAAAATGAAAGTGCAGGTCAGTTTGCTGTTGTGAAACTTGAAAGCACCAACACGGCTACATAATTGACTAAAGCCAACGTTGTATTAGGAAATAACCCAAGTTGTTTTCGGTGAAAATATTGTTACACTATTCACACAAGTGGTCATCTGTAGATAAATGGGATGTTGTATCCTTATTTTACATGTCTTGTAAAATGCACCAAATCTTTCTTTAAATTTAGTCCGTGATAACATTTTGAATCAAGATACAAATCACTCGACTTTTATTCATGTAGTGTTCTTTATTCCACCCTCATCCTCAAAATATACATGACAAATATATTAGTGTATTAATTATGAAAACAGAGATAGAGAAGTGGAAAGCATCTGCAATTTAATCTTAATACATTTCGGAAAGTTTAATAACATCAAATCATTTCAGTAATGTTCGCAACGTGTTTGGCATTGAACTGTAGGGATTTTAAGTTAAGCATCAAGTCTTGGGGTGGGATCACTGCCGATTTTTTTTAGCATTTTGAGTATTTTATCATTTCGACTCTTTCTCTATGGCTTACTTAATTAAAAACAAGCTCTCGCTAAACCAGAATCACATAGTCAGACAATGAATGCTGGTATAGGGAAACACTATTTTAAGTGTTATTTACTGCATCAGCAAACATATAGTCAGTTTACCGTGACCAACACAAGTGAACGATGCACATGAGTATCCCCTAAGGCGTGATATGGATATTTTGTTCAGGCCAGGAATGTGATGATACTGCTGCTTGTACAAATTGACAGTGACATGAACATCGCAATAAGATATACCGAATTAAAATAGTTACATAAAAAGAATTTCTGTGATACTGAATGGGTCGAAATGGAATGGCATTCTAGGTTGGTAGAACTTTGGATTACTACACACAAGTGCATACGGCAATCATTGGTGTTATCAAGATGAACGAACCTGCCATATTGAGAGGACGCTTCGGCAGTTCAGTCACCAATAGTGAAATTATTATTAAGCTTAGAATCATCTACAATTATTTACACAGTCTTTTAAATAATAAAACACAAAACTGATTTGTATAATGGATTTCATCGTCAGATGTGTTTAAAGTGTCTGTTATGAATGTGGTGGTCAATCCTGCATCAGATGCTTGGTGATGTTGGCCCAATCGCTTATGCAAGTTGCCCATATACTCGTAGTATATGCTTAGGCGTTCGACCAATATCCATGCGATGCACCTGACCCAGATCGTCATCCTGCCTATACCTGACCTTGCAATGAATATATACTTAGTTTGTTGTTTATAATCACCTCATTTGAATTGAGATAGGGTTAGAATTATAACTGATTTCAAGGTGTTTACTACCAGTGCCTTTACAATGGCAAGGAAACGTTAAAGTGAAATCTAAGTGTTGACATATTAGAAGGCTGAGATAGCAAATATGTTTCTGGAGGTTACACAGTTAACAGTTGAATGACTGGCAGCATCCATTAGAGGAAAGTATTCAGAGGTCATCACACTTTTTACATTAACGTTAGCTCGTTCTTCCCCAGTTATTGGGATACATATAGCTTACATGATACGTATGTCTTAAAGCAGCGATAAGGCCCTGGTTTTTAAGTATTTTTGTTTTAATATAACCATATAGAGATGACCAAATTTCACCGAAATTATTGCATGGATAGTAGTGACCCTCAGGTCAGGTCAGGTCGCTGTCAAAGCCTGTTGGCCGTTGGGGGGCACTTTGATGAATCCACAATTCTCCTCCAGCCCTCACGGTCTCTCGCTAGTCCGACACAGGGATCTATCTACCTTTCATTTTGTCCAAGCCACGATTTCTCGCATCCATGTATTTTTTCTTGACCGCCCTCCACACCTTGACAAGACGAATGGTAATATCGACAATCACGTCGTTTGTCACCCAAGAAACCAATATTAATATTGTACTAATAATGGTCAATTGCGTGTTCATGTATGCATGAGTGAATGTTGGTCTTCCTGACTGTTTGCTTGTCTGCTTATAGTCCAGTATCAAATTATGACTTGGTGGTGTAATCAACAATTTCACCCAGTTGAATGGCAGTTGAATCGGCAATAGATGATCCATTTTACATACTAATGACGTCATAATCTATGAATATTGAACCTCATCCAATATGAAGTTATACTTGAAGTTATACTTATACCAATTGTGACTCAAAATAACCAACACAGAGACTTGATGATTTCCCATTTGCCCTTTTATTACTTCAATAACACCAAATACATTCCAGTGATCACCCTCCACCTCATAATTTCAAATTACTTCACACTTTTCTTCGTCATCAGCAGTATGTATGATATGTATTAGTAGCTGCTCAGTATTCAGGTGATTTATGACTTTCTTTTTTGAAATCTACATTAGCATATTACGGGTAATGTCCTGCCAACGTACCGCAACTGAAAATAATAATAAAGCAGTTTAAGGGTCCATAACTAATCAATTTCAACATTTTGTTCAGAATTGTTTTTTCCCCGCGTCTTTGTGATTTTCTCGCATTGATTAACGTCACAGTGTAACATTTCAAGGACCATGAGAATTTAGACGCATTCATTCATATGCTTTTGTTTAACGTATACCAGAAATGTACGACACATCTCAATACTATAAGCATATGTGCGTAATATAATTCACATGACATAAACATTTTTTAACTTTTTTGGAAATCTGTAAAAACAAATGCATCTCATATTTCTAATCATAGTAAGACAATATCCCATTTTGATCTAATCCTAAATAAATTCTGAAATGGATACAGATCTGGGTTGTCGAGATGTGGCTACATGACTATGCGTCTCTTTAGTTCAAAATACGAACTTACCCATTTCCTTCACCCCAGCTTGTGTGAAATTCTGCATCACTTGTTGCATTCACCCCGTCTGGTGTAATCCACTCATATTCAGGACTTCCATTTGCATCGCCACATAAACCATGGATATCGTAACATTGACTGTAAGGCTGGGAAACGTCGATTTCTACTCTTCTGATGCCCCACCTGACGACAATGTCGTAATATCCGTCCAAGTCGAGATCCATTGTCACGTGATAGCTATCGGCATGTTTACTTAATAGGAATTGATTGTACGTACCATAATATTCCGGGAGAACTGCATCATCTATTAGTGACGACGCCCCACCCGGTGTAAGCTGAAAATAGAAAGCAGAACATACATATTGAACAAAACTGTTACTCGCAACTATGGAAAGAGAAAATGTTGAGAACACATACGATTTATTTTTGGGCTTTGACTGTTCGGAGCTGTTTTTTTCAAACAAAATTCAAAAGGGTAAACACAAGTCTATGCTAACCACGTAATCATGGCAATTAGAGGTTGAGCAGCAATATGCAATCACATGCAAACAATATACATGTTAGCTTAAGCTATCCCGAGGGGTTTATAGAAGTAACACTACAGCGAAATTCAGGCAAAACGAGAGGGTGTTATTATAGATGTCCAATGGGCGCGATTGTAAAGATTCCTATTAATGTTTATAATGTGATGTAAATAAATCCACGTTTCAGTGTCTACCTAAAACCCTGAACTGGTGTCCGACAGTCAGTTGGGAGTCACGTGGCTTTGAAACAGATAGAGGACATATGGTTTTGGAACAGTTAGTTGAGAAACACATGGCTTCGAAAAAGTCATTTGAAGGACACGTTGCTTTGAAACAGATAGGGGACACATGGTTTTGGAACAGTTGGTCGAGGAACACGTGGTTTTGAAACAGCCAAGGGACTGTTTTTATAATGTATATTTTGTACGAGGATAAATAGCACGTATATTAGGAATATATATCATGGAATTGTTTGGTTGTGATGTCATAATAGGGAATGCCTACCAAATATGTGACAGGATTGACGCCATCATTAGGTCCAAGTTCGAAAGTTTCATCTTTTTGTATTAGTAGCAGCGATCCTACACGATAATGGTCTTTGGTTTTGTGCTCAGTCACTTTAACATCTATTCTGAAGTCGTGGCCACAAGCCATGTGCATAAGTGAATACATAGCACAATCTCCACCTTCATGATACTTGTATCCATCAAAAGTTGTGAAACGCGGATCTCCATGTACTGTGCAAGTGACCGTCTCTGAAAGATAAAAAAAAATGTGTTATGAAACAATATTTGATACATGTTTAGTCATGATGAATACGTGATACAGCTGGTGTTTCTGGTTTCCCATGGTGTAATATAACATAATGTAAAACATATTATCAATAGTTATCTATAATTTATTCTCACAGTGTGAATTTTTTTTATAAGTTACGAAACAACCGACAGATCACAGTGTCTTCACTATCAGAGCTGTGCTCGAGTCACTTATGCATTGTGTCGGAAGATAACAATCTACAAAACAACATTTAATTTTTCTTATCAGTAACTGGCTTTGTAATATGCTGATAAATAAAAGCATGACGCGCAACACTCTGACATAAATTGATTTATACTTCAGTACGTCCTCACAAATCTTAGCACCATAACATTGCTCGACCGCGGAGACCATATATATATATATATATATATAGTATGAATTTGTATGGCAATAATGAACAAGTGAATTCACTGAAATATGAGAAACAGCAACAATCACCATGGAATAGCTTCCAAATACACTCCTGAATAGTCATGTTTAACATTATATATGAAAAAAAGATAATTATATTCACTTCGTGGTGGTGGGCAATAATACCCTTGGGTGATTGTGTTGTTATCACAGCAATATCGGCACTTGGTCTTCACGTAGATTGGCGCTACATCACATTCATTAAAATGTGGTTCATTTTCGGATTCTTCGATACAAGCCTGAAAGTAAAAACCGAAGATAAATAGATAATCTAATAAGAATAATACAAAAAAAACACAGTGTAATTATCATTGTACAGTGACGCTTCAAAGAAAAAAAAAATCCTCGTATATATTACAATAACTTTGTTAAATTGTTTACGTAAATCAGTTAATATTAAGTATGCAATATGGTACTTCATTAAACTAAATTTGGTTAATTATATTATAATACCGCAAAATACAGAAAACATGATTTTCCTGTGAATACATATATTTTTGATTCCAGCCTTTCGGGCAGATAATAACATGGACCTAGTTCATTTCAGCTGTGGAGGGGCGTTGTGTAGAAGTATATCCAATAATTTCGATTTCGATATGTTTTTAATTATTTAGGTAGGTGGCGATATACTTGACAATGGATATTGTACCGTGCTCTATTCTATTCAATTCTATAAACCTGATGTATATTGCTCACAAATTTGAAAAATATTCCAGATATATATTTTATTAAACTGAATGTTTATGACTAGCTCAAACCACACACATCACTGATTTAAATGATCGTACCATACTATTCAACTGAAGTTATTATTAGATAAGAGAATTTGAGAGATGTAATTATATTCACTTGTCATTAGGTACACAATTTATATAACGTTGAACTCACTTCTATTTGTTGACACTCCGATATAAATACTAAACCAGTATTCTTTTGCCACAGTTGAGTCATGCATTCAGGCTGTAAAGTAGGCAAATGGTTAAAACTGAATTTGTGTGGCAATACATAACAAGTAAATTCACTAAAATGCGGGAAACATTATAAAACAATTGAATGTGGCACGAGGGACAATAAAAAACAAATAAATTCACTGAAGCAGGAAAAACAATACAAACATTTTGATAATGAGGCATTTTAAATTAACATCCAAGTAGCAATCTGCGTCTTGATTTTTGTATTTCGTGTTACCGTAGTAATTTAGATAAAAAAGAAACAATTTGCATTTAATTTAAATGAAGTTACATATAAAATAAATACTCACTCGTGCGCTTGTACAGTGTTCATATTTATCAGGATCAGATTCTGGTTTCAGCAAGCACTCGGCTAAGGACATCTTATCAGATAGTTTACACTGTAAACACTTGCTAGCTGTAAATTATATATTATAACAGTCAGTCCAAAGTGAAAATAACACATTTATAAGTTCTTTTCCTATATAACAATTTGAGTAAAAAAAACACATATTGGAGAAACCAGCACTGTAGGAGTGTAGAAAAAACGAGTAACGGCTTTGACTGTTACATAAACACGTAAGTATTGCTATTCCTGTCATAACTACCGTGTTTCTCGAAATGTGTTACAAAATGTATTCTCTACTAAGTCAAATTGTGTACGCGTTCAACAACAACAAACAATCTGTCTTTTAAAATGACACTCTTGAACCACAACAACAATGTTAAAAACAATATTAATTATACTACCTTGTCCCTGGCCAGGTACCATAAGGTCATGAGGGTTTCCTTCAGCACGCTTTACAACTTTGGCATTGGACTGACAAGCAATCTGAAATGCAAAC